TTAAAAGCATTCAAAACCATTTTCTGTGTAAATTTGTCTAGGGCCGTTCATGTTATTGAGAGTTATCCGAGACTGGGACAGGACAGAAAGGGAGGGTGAAGATTGGTCCGGGTTCTTGACAAACATTGTCTAATAAGAGCTGTTCCACCTCTACTGAAATGTCCTGTCCTCTCAATATAATCCCACTCCATTACTTTACATCAAATAAAGCACATATGAATCAGTCTATGGTTCCTCTACACGGTGACTTAAAATCTGTTTTGTTTTATTTATTTATTTTTTTGTTTTTTGAGGAACCGATCTAATGGAAACAAAATTGATATAATGGTTACATACAAGACTACCAACAAATATCTTTTAAGAGCTCTTTTATTAATGATAATTCTCATATTTGATGCCTAATATCACCATTCTACCATTCAAAAGTTTGATAAAATGTATCAAAAGTGACAAAGACTTTTACGTTGTTAATATATAATAATTATTTAATTTAAAATGTTTCTTTTGAACTTTCTATTCATCAAGGAATCCTCAATATAATGTATTATAATTTTCACAAAAATATTGTGCAGCACAACTGTTTTCAACATTGATAATAATCAGAAATGTTTCTTGAGCAGCAAATCAGCATATTAGTATGATTTCTGAAGGATCATGTGACACTGAAGACTGGAGTAATGATGCTGAAAATTCAGCTTTGCATCACAGGAATAAATTACTTTTTCAAATCTATTCAAATCTATTTAAATTGTAATAATGTTTTATCATATTATTAATATTACAGTATTTGTCATCAAATAAATGCAGCCTTGATGAGCATAAAAACACCTTACCGACTACAGACTTTTGAACGGTAGAGTACTTTCTTTAAGATAAACGTTTAAAAATTCAAAACCTAATCATCAGTTGTGATGTCATCACAATATTTGCATTCTGAATTCTAATTGGTCTTTCTGAGATTGGTCTTTTCTTTTTTGCTGCTATCTAACAATTGTTAGCCACTTAATGCTAATACACAGTCAACAGTAAATAAGGCGCATGGCAAGTGTCAAGACAACCGAAAGCGGCTCATTTCCTTCATGCTGCTGAACTAAAGATTAAACCCAAAACTTTCACACACCAGTATCTCCTCCGCAAATGCAAATCTAATTTATTTCTTTTCTTTTCTGAGAAGGCATCTCATTAAAGGTATTTTAGTGGTGTGAAACACAAAGCGGCAGGAGTTTGTCTTCGGGCTGTGTGTGTGTGTGTGTGTGTGTGTGTGTGTGTGTGTGTGGGCAGTGCGGTGATTAAACTCGGCTGTAAGATCACAGACAGACCCATATGTTCATTACTGCCATGATCACAGACAGGTTCCGCCCACGGCCGAACACTGAGATGGGGCAGAAGAGTGTGACTCCAGGGAGAACGGGGTATACCCCTCATAAAGGGGTATAGACTAACATGCATGCATATATATACTGTATATATATATATATATAAGCAATGACTTCACAAACACACACTATATATATATATATATATATATACAGTGTTGGGGAGTAACTAACTACATGTAACGGAATTA